AGATTTTACTGTGATTTTACACTAATGTTTTTTTTTTTTTTAATTTCGATGTCTCAAACACTATTATTATACGACTAAAATTTTATTTTTAAACATAAAGTTTAATTTTGAAATTGGCATCATCAAAACTACACATATAGAATTAAATATGAGTTACCTTCAAAGACATGTAAAATATAGAGTTTTCTAAAGTTATCATAGACTTAGTAGTTTTAGTTATTGCAACGTTTGTTTTTTTACACTATTACGTGCGCAATCTGAGAAAAATATTTATACAACTTTGTTACTTTTATCAGATCCATTCCATTACAATCATTTAACTTAATTTGAAGAATGTATGATTGAATATTGGGTTGAATATTAAAAGCTTAGATGCCACACGTATACGTTGCATCCGCTTAACAATATTAATGGTGTTTCTTGCTTGCTATGGGCAGACAAAATAGGTAAGTACGCCCATAGTTGTAGATAGTATACATTTCCATCCCTCCATTATCAGAATATTATTATCCGTAAATTCAAAGAAATAATTTTTAATGTATTTTGCACACGTTCCCGACGTGAGCAAACTGTCATGATCAGATTACGTTTAGAAGATTGTTTTAAATGGTATCAGCTGCAGTATGTTTTGAATTTTCCCGAGTATAAACGTCGTGTATATTTCTATGCCCCTCGACCCAACATCATTTTCGAAGTTTAATACCATTGGTTTTTAGATATTCGTAATGTGATCACATTGTGTAAATGTATACAGAAATAGATAAAGAAACAAACGCAAGAGTTAAAACATATGAGTTCTCGATCAATCAAATGTATAAACCAACATAATGTAATGAAATAATATAATAATATAATATAATGTTTTGAGTGTACCGATTTTGTTTTATAATATTCTAATTGGCTTGTACGTTGTACATACGTATCGCAATAAATAAATTATAAACTTTGTGATGTTGAAAATAAAACAATTAATTCATTAAACACGTTCATATTATACCATTTTTTCCACAGATCAGTTATTAGGTACTTATTAGTAATTAAACCAAGTTGAACTTTTTTAATTAATGATAAAAACAAATATTATGAACACTTTTTTTTATTACCAAGCGTATAATTTAATAAATAAACAGCACAAATGTCTAATAATATTATATCGAAATTTATATTTATAGGTACCTATTTGTTTGTGCAACGTGATATTTAAGCACGTGAGGTAAATAAAAACGTTCTGAAATGTAGGTACATATTATTTCTATTTATGAGTAGGTATTCATTTTTTCGAAAATCAAATTAAAGTTGTTCAACAAAATTTTAAGTACCTATACAAAAATGATAATATTTAAACATAAAATTACATTTATAATACCTGTTATACGATATTATCGTATAATTAATATTGCATATTAGCTTAAATTTCTTTTACTAATAAACTACCCATACATTTTCCAAAAGTAGTAAAATATTAGTTTTATTTTATTAATTTCATACAGTCGATATTTACTCACTATATAGGTACATAATTATTATAATCATTAATTATATATTATTATAAGTTCGTTCTAGAAATGTATTGTTTAATAAAAATTAATTTGAGTGTCTATATGAGACGCAGTAAATTCATAGTAAAAAAAGGTTTAACTCTAAATTTATATCATCAAAATTAAAATCATTTTCTTTCTATGTGAGTCGCAGCAGAGGAAAATTGAATAAATATTAAAATATCCAAACTAAAAAAAAATTTTATTGCACTAATATACTTCAATATACATTAATTAAACGTTAAAATATTGTATTTATAATGTATAAATTTCAATAGAAATTATGTATTAAAAGTTATCGATTAATGACTGTAGAAGACTTAAGTACATAATATTATGGAGGTGTATTTTATGTGAGTGATTTATCGGGAAAAATTTACTATTTTATAACAATAGGTAGGTATACGTTGTTATTCACACGTTATAATACGATTGCTTTCAATAGGAAACAATTGGTTTTCATCATCATTTATTATTTCTTTTCTACTTTTTTCGTTATTGATAATTATTGTAGCTGGTTTTGTTAATCTAAAACTTAAGAATACACTAATATTTTCTTAACTTTATTTATTACACTTTTCTATCCCTTAGACCGTAATATTATACATAGATTTTTTTTTTCAATTTCAATTTTTCTTTTGTGCACACCGATAAAACAATAATTAATTAGGTATATAAGGTACCTTCTCATACATTCGATGATCACAACAATAATGTATACTATATTATGTAATGCATTAAACTTTGCCATTTCTGAATGAGGTCGATGACACATTACAATATTATGAATTATTTAGATTATTATTCATCTATTTTGCATTCTCGGTACATAATTATCGTATCATAGATCACCTATATATGTTATATTCTGTTTCGATAAAATATTTATTAGCCAATCTGACCGCTCGTACTCAGCTTATTAATAATCGGATTATTTATTAACCTCTGTATTGGGTTAGTAATTGTATCCATAATTTTGCGTATTCCATTTTCGATACGAAAACGATAACACCACGATAATAATATGTTTCATAATAATTGGTTATTTTTTTTTTCAAATACATAATAATTATTACAATAACAATAATCATTAAGCGTACATTTTCGCTATATAATACATCTAGGCTTTAAATCGGTATCTAGATGATTATAATATTGAAATAATGATGTATGTTATTAAATCGCTCTTAATTATTGTTATACTATAATATACGTATATAGGTAACGACGGTAAGTATATTAATAATAATGATATCCTGGTGATAATAATATTTGTCTACGATTTCAACATTTCTGGTCGAATAAATTAGGGGTTTTCGCATGGTGTTTGTGGATATTGCAGTGGTTTTCGCATAGATTCTAGCTTGGGAAACTTAACAATAATTCCGCCACCAATACGTCATGTACAATACTGAGCACCGTGGGACAACGCGCGGCTATGCATTTATATCATATTAATTTTGTATTGAGCATTAATTATGATTGTGCCTTCCACCTGTTCCTCCGACCTATGATAGATACAACGAGTACATAGTGGTACCTACACCGTAATTCGTGGAAGACCGATTGCGATCGTTTGTAGCGTCGATGACGGTTATTAAATTAATCTCGCCTTTTAATCTGGGAGTTATGTCAAAACGATATAATAATATACTCTGATTTAAATTAAATTTTAGAGTTCGTTTTAAGGCAAACACATAATAATAATAATAATAATAATATTAAAATAATGGCTCAATAATATCCCGAAACCTCTGAAATTGAACGGTAAAATAGAATACGATGACAAAGGTTATACGCTACACACTATAGGTAGGTACATGGGAATGATATTGGCATAGTTTGGAATATTAAGTTCACCCCGTCGTATGTAAGTCACGTTTAAACGATACAGAGTCTTGTTCTTAGAACGTTTCTCGGGGATAATGGTAAAATGTAAATTCGCTCGACAAAGAGCATAATTATTATTACTTTTAATTCTGTTATTCAATACACACCGCTCTTAAAATATAATCAAACACTCTCAGGTATATGAATTCAAAAGAAAAACAATGTTGCGACCGTTTTACATGTGAAATGGAAAAGGTGTTAATACATCCATAAATGGTAAAAGTACGCACGCTAAATTATTTATAGCATCCCTCTTTTTGTATTGAATAATTTACACAATCATTCCCGGCGGTAGTGTTATTATTATTATTACTCGTAAAAGTTTCTCTAGAATATACATTTTATTATGACATTTATGATATAACAGATACAAATAGCTGAGTTATTATAACTCCGAAGGATTTCGTCGAAACTATGAATGAATAATGAATATTATAATAGTAATCTAATTCAGTTGAAATAACACCATATTATAGTCTCTATGGTAATATTATTAAAGATTATGACGTCTTACCTGCAGTTGCAGTTCGTTTACCTATATTTCCTCCGTCTTTCATATTCAAAACTATAATACCAGCTGCATAATTTACTTACATTGTGATTGTATCAACGAGAAAATCGACTGAATGAATGGAAATTATTTATTTTTCTTTATTGCAATATTTATTGAGTACGACCACACCATTCGTTGTTGTACGCGCATATTATAATATAACAACACAAATACGATTTTTTTTAATCAATTTTTAATGTGTCAAAAAAGTTGTACGTAATTATTAACCGAATTACAATTTATTATTAATAACAATCATACGGTTTGAAAAATGACTATACTTATCACAACCTTCAATAATATATTCGAAATATTGGTAAATTTTAAATAATGGAGATATAGATCAAAAGTTCATAAGTAATAAATATTATTCAACTGAAATATGAAAAATATACATGCACACTTATATTATGCATAATGTGTTATAAGTTATAACTAACTTGAGTTATTGTTATATTTATCAATATGTGTTTAAACTAATGTGGCTTGAAGGTACATTATACCTATATCCAATGAAAAATATCCAAAGGTTCATATCGTAATGTAAATCGTATTATACCTTACTATAGGTATTTAATTTACTAACTTTTTAACTCTATTAAGGTTCATCGAATGGATAGATATGTATATAAAGTCGAATCCCATATAACTTTTTATGGTGGCATAAGGCTGAACGCTACGGCGAGAACGCCCATTTATTTTAATAGGATTAAACGAAAAAAGCTCTTTATGGACGAATCAATTATTATTATTAGTATTATTTTAATCTCGCCGTTCACGGGGTGTCTCGTGTTATAAACAATGAAAACGGATACACATACCTACGCTTATTACCTGCCCATTACAATAATAATTACAATATCACACTTCAATGTTATATTATTATTATATTTTACCGAAATATTACGATCTGTACCATCGGCGCCAAAATCATCACAAGCCCGCAGAATGTCGGGAGGAAAAAGCTACCTACCTACTCAAACTATTAAATCATTTCGCACAAATGTCTGTTGTGTTACCTCTGATAAGTCTGCGGAGTTCCTCAAGAGCCTCTGCCCGGCGCTCCGGGGTCTCTCGCAGATCGTTGACGGCTCGCTCCTTGTACGACTCTTCGAAGTCTGCGTCGTCCTCGAACCGCAGCTCGTGCCCGGAGCCCATCTTCACGACTGGCCCGTAATTGTCCACTTCCATGGTCGGGGTTCAAAATATTTTGGTTTTCGGACGTTGACCGGACGAACGGGGGTACCACTTACGCCCTAGCGACGACGAGGAAAAACGACGATAATATATGCATACGATATCGTCTATAGTAGTTATAGGTTTCGCGGACGGATGACCGAAGTGCCGACGACCCAAAGGTTTTACGCGAAAATCTCAAACAATAATTTATGGTACTATTACAACTTACTAGTCGTGCGACCAACCGATCGACTAACCGGTGCGACGTGAGTGTGCGCGAATGTGTGCGGTGCTCGGATGTTTGGATGTAAATGGAATTGCAACACGACCGCCGCTGTATTATAATGGCTGATAGGCAGCGATAATAATATTATTACCTGCAGAGTACTGTGTGATAGTATTATTATTATTATTATTACTGTGTGTTATGTATGTCTGCAAGACGCTACTCCCGCCGTCGGACTGGTTTCGTCGGCCACTAGCGCCGACCTACAGGTGGTTCAACGGTCAACTATCGAGAATCTTGATTTTGATATTTTTTTTCCTATACGTATTACCGCACATGGCAAGACATATTATACACATCGCTACAATAATATTAAAATGATCTTATGCGAGCACCTATATTATAGTGGGTAATAATGGTAATAATGGGTGCATATTATTATAATATTATAGTGCCTATTTGTTATTATCAAATGCTGAGGGGAGCATCACTGAGTTGTCTGAGTTAAGTGTATTTAACGTGATTTTTCTCGGTTGATTTGTAGTATAAACTTAATTTTTAATTACCTTGCTAGAATATTTTTTAATTAATTTCAAATGAGTATTTGTTTTAAACCATCCATTTCTCCAAAAATATTAACTTGTACCTGGTGCTAATGTAATTTTGTCTTAAAAAATACACTCTTAGGTAAATTATCCTGGTTATTTTTTTTCTACATTTATATAGAGGGAAATAGTATAAAACCTGCATTCAACTCTAATTTTCAATATTTAAAATATATATTAAAAAAATACAATTTTAAGCTAGTTTTACAAACTATTTTGTACACACCATTATTTGAAATTAAGTAAAAACTCTGGAGTTCAATGAGAGCTGTAGAAAGTTTTATTCTTAAAATGATCTAGATAAAAAAAAAACAGTTTTCAAAATTCTAAAATTGTACTATATACCCCTGAAAATTTGTCCCGTAAAGTTTTTTTTATTTATATAATACGTTGTAACCCCCCACCCCCCTCCCCATAAAAAAGTATCAAGCTTAAAGTGACGACTAAAATATTAAATATAATTTTCAAACTTTATATAATTGCTGAAAATTGGCCCTTGAGTTAGTAAGTTAATTGTTGGAATCTATATAGAACTCATAACCTGAAAAAAAATCTATAAAACTATTAAAAACTAGTAAATTTGAACAGTTCAAACAGTTTTCAATAAACTTAACTTAACTAAGTAGTTAAAAAATTACCTTAACTTACTCAGCCTTGTTTATTATAGAAAACATCATCCATAAACAAAACCGATATAATTTGATAGTGATAATATACGGACGCGAATTTCAACTACAACATATTTCCTGTCACGAACGAGTCAAGCATCATCTGAAAATAAGGAAGCAGTTCATCGATATTACAGTCGTAGATACTTACCAGTTTTTTTTTTTTATATTTTATAAACAGTTCAGCATTATTGGCATAGTGATTTTCTTTTGCGCTGTTCAGAGCAATAATAGTATAAAAAGAAACATTCAGACACCGCCCACTTGACAAATTGATATATTTTTCATTTTACATTTGTATTTTATAAGCCACAAGATGTTATATACAAGTTGCAGTGATGAGTGTATTATGGATAGTTGTTGGAGTGATGTTGGTATCCAGTTTTTCCACTTCGGCATAGTTTATTGGTGTTTCAAAGTGATTCTTCATATCATGTTTAATGTTAAGTATTTTTTTCCAAGGCAAAACGTAACAGTAAAGTTCATCTTACTCGATTGAATTTAAAGAACAAGTAGGTATTTACCAAAATATAATCTACCCATTCAATATATACACAAATGTATGAGATCAATATAAAGTGTATAATATAGGTATATTATAGGTAGGTACTTATTAATTATTATATCACACTTGATTTTATGTTATATATATAAACGGAATGTGCTTCTGTTCCCTGTCTGGTAGGTAAGTGAACGGTATAAGTCCGGTGTATGGTACCTATCTTGGACGAAATACATGGGTATTATTAATAGTATATTATATTCTAAAACATAATGTCTCCACGTGGATCAATTTTTTTTTGTTGGTAAACGTTTACATAAACCTGCAGCTATTTTTACTTCGCAATAGTCACACTGTTTACACACGCGTCCTCATTTTTCAAAATGTCAGTGTAAGGTTACCCGGTTATTTACTGCTTAAAATTGTTCAATCTGAAATTAAGTAGTTATTCGATTTCAACAGATTATGTAGGTACCAAAAATATTTCATACGTTTCTATTGTTTTTATACACATAATATCATACCTTATTCATGTTATCGTATAAAAAATTAATTATTCAAAACTGTGAGAACAATTGTACATCGTATTAAATTAAATATAGTTTTTTTTCATCATTATTTTTTCACATTAATTATTTTACATTTCAAAATTGGTTATACGTTCATAATATTTTATAAGTTATGTATTTACAACTTTGTCTCGACGATTTTATAATGTGTGCAAGTATTTTAAGTAGGAAAAATTCTAACAGGTTTTCTTTGTTTTTGCAGAGAACCGGGGTAACGTTCTGTTATTGCAAACATTATTGGTTTTTAAGGTATAGGTACCTATATACTCAGGTATATATTATCATCTCATTATTAATATTCGTGATTCTGTTTTTAATTATATAAATTATATTTGGTATGTAATATAATAGTAAATGTTTACATTTAAAATTTTATATTTTACTGTTTATATGCTTATGAATTTTTATATAAATTCTTACGAATAATGAATTTTAATGGGTAGTAATTAGTAAATAATATGTAAATACTTAGTAATAAGTAATTCGTTTTGAAGATTTAAATTTTTTTTTCTTATTTTTTTCCTACTAAAGTATTAACTCTTTTTCATATAAAATTAGTGCCTTTTTATATTTTAAAGTAAAATATTTGTTATTCGATTATCTTTTCTTACCTACCTATTCTAATTTTTGAAAAGGCCATTTTTTTATCAATATTTTCTCGAAGTGACATGAAAGACTAAACAGTAATAATAACCGTCAAACAACGTTAAGTATACTTAATTAATTGTCAGAAAACCATTATTTTACCCAAATTTCATATATTATCATTTTTTGAATGTGATGATTTATTATTGGTCACATGTTTACTGTCAGACCATAACTATAAGAGAAAAGTGAGACTACGAGTGTCCAACATTCAAAGTCGATATATTCTATCTTTGTTTTTGTAATTTTTTGTCAACAATGAAATACACATTTTAATCACTTAAATTGTAGATTATATTTTACCTTTAAACTGTGTATAGGTACATTCTATAACTAGTAAAATCAATAATTGATTGGATATACTACGACAGAATATCGATAGTGTTTTGAAATGCCATATTTTTTTTCTCATATCATTGATTGGTATGTCAGTGATTGTGACAGTGAGTGACTTGTGAGTTGTGAAATGCTCAGATTTTCAATACATATGAAATACCTTATCCATACCAAAAATTGTAGAACTTTAGAAGAAACTCAATATGATGACAATATTAACACTGAGATCCCAACTCCCCTTACCTAAATACCTATACATTTTAAATAACTTTTAAATGTTCTTATAACCTGTATGCATTGTCTTGGATTTAAATTTTGAGTCATGTAATCGTATTTATGCGTAATGTACACTAGGCATAGATGTTTACAAGACTAATATTGTTATAAATAATAGTAAAAAAAAAAAATGTATAATCATTACATGACTACACAATTTCTAAGTTTCTTACTCTGGAAAATATGAATCTATAGGGACTTACTTATAAATGTTCTACATACGTATTATAAGTCCTTGTGTCCTACATATGTTACGTAATAGTTTTCTCATTATATAATATCTTCCTCGTATACTCCCAAAAGTATAATAATTGATAGTGTAGGTATAATTGATATCATCATATTATAATAATAAGCTCATCGTTCAAATTAAACCATCCATTATGTAAAATATGTATAATTTGTAATATTATGATATAAATTATAAATATAAAATAATTGACATGGTATTCTCACATCGTACAAAAAATATGTTTTCTACACTACCAATGGGAAATTTATGTTTATGTTTATAATTTTAAGACTATACACTGGAAACCTTGACCAAATCAAACGAAATACTATAATCATTTTTGTAATAATATACGTTTTATAACGTAAATTAGTAAAATACTTATATAGGTACAATTTGATAAACAATTTGATGACAATATTTTTTTTAATTCAGAAACAAATCCATTCATTGTGTATAGGTATGGTATACTTCTATATACATTTTAAATCAATCGAATAAAATACCTATACATAACATTATACAGTATGTATAATAATGTATAATGTATTATAAGTATATTGTACCTATCAGGTTTAAGATTATTAAATGGTAGATACGTATAGTGATCAACTAATCCAACAACATTAGCACTACATTTTGGTTACAATTTTATTTGTATTTTAATTTATTTTATGTCACAATGGTTTCATTTTGTATGGAAAAAAAAATACCTAATTAAATTGGAAATATTAAAATTTTAGTAGTTTATGATTAATAATATTTATTAAAGTTGTGGTTGAAAAAAAATGAGGATTTTACAAAACCTTAGCACTTTTAAGCTGTATGAATTTGATACATATTTTATTTAATATCTCATAATTATTACCTAATCCAACGAGACTTATAACAATTACTATATTATAAATTATAATGTATACAATGAAAACGAAACAAATATTTATTGTATTCAT